GTTTCAGAGCTGTCCGTGGGCGCGCGGTTCCCACGCAGCCCCGCGCTCCCCTGGGACATCTCCGGCCTGCTCCCGGCCGTGGCGGGGTCCCGGGAGGAGGAGCGGACATGGGGGGTGAGGGGAAACATCTCCTGGGCATCAATCGGGTGGCTGATGTGCAGAGGAGGGGTTCCTGGAACCTGGGAACAATCCGTCACCCTGCCGAGCACGTTAGCCAGCTAGTGTCTCCTCCAGGCCTAACCACCGAGCCCCGGTAGTCCCAGTGGGGTGGCAACTGCTGGTGCTCATCACAGCCTCATTTGAGCCAAGACAGGGTCTTTTTAGGACGTCTCAAATACAGAGGGTGCAGAGAGGGGAGGGAGGGAGAAAGCGCTGCCATTGCAAGGCAATGCCCCAGGCTTGCAGAGGTCTTCTCCACCAGCAGAGCTCCATAACCAGATGAGCCATTCTCACATGATAGCACCCCAGGAACAGAAGGTTATTAGCCCTCAACACCAGCCCTGGGGATGGCTGGAGAGCACAGAACTCCCCGCTGCGGCTGCAGTGCTGCTGGGAGACCCGTGGGGAGCAGGACGGGAGGAAACCTAGGGCACGGTTTGGCTGGTTCCTGTCCTTGGGGCAGGATCTGGGCTGCCCGTGCTGCCCTGGCCGAGATGGAGCGGAAGGGAATACCAGCTGGGATGCCTCAAATACCTCCGCTGCTGGCCCTCGCCAAGCTCGCAGCACTTTCCAAACAGTTCCCACATTTGAGAAAAAAACCCACCCAACACAACCACAAACCGAACCAGGAAACCTCAGCTCACATCCATGCCCGGATTGAGACGCCCCTGACGGGTCTTGGCCCCGTTTGGCCTCTGCCACCGGGCCAGGCCACCACCCCACGGTCACTCCTGGGATGGGGACCGACACGGGAGATGCAGGTCTGATGGTGGCACGGGGGAGGGGGGGACACCGATGGACCTCACCCAGCTCCACACCACACTGCAGCCTCGGCTCCCCCACC